TAGAGCTACGGAACCAATTCTTCTCAGTATGAACAGACATTACTTGAATTAGTGCGTAGATACGGTAACCCAAAACATGTGATGTCAGCGTTCATCAAGAAATTTGTCGAACTTGGAAAATTCGACAAATTGCCTGATGATACTAAGCGAACCACGGGGCTTTATAAGATAAGTTGCTTTCCTAAGGAAACTAATCCACATTTTCGAATTCAACAGCCACACCACTGATCTAATATCTAGTAATCTGGCCCGACTTGCTCGCTCAAAACTCACAGTAAGTCTACTAATGAAGTGAGAAGAACACTGCATGATCTCAATTGTGCTACACTCAAAGACTTGACGCAGTCCGTCAATAACTACTGGCGAGCTTGCGAGAACCTGGGCATAGAGCCGTCGAATTCAAACCAAGCGGGAAGAAATCGGCAACCTATGAAGCAACATCAATCCGACAGCCGACCCAACCAATTTACTTCTATGTCCAGCAAAACTACGACAAATCGTCAGGCTTATCGATAAGACTAACAACTCTAACATGTCCAATAGATAAACAAGTTCACAATAATGGAAATTTTCCGGACTTTTTGAAACTTTCCGTAGGTTAACGGGCAGAGCTGGTGAAGCAACATAAGCTGTGCTTCAACTGATTTGGCCAATACAGATTTAGTGAATGCACATCGTCTTAGCGATGTTTCATCAACAACTGCGGAGGGAAACGCCATTAAACTCTACACATCGACAAAAAGCCGTTTCAAACGCTTAACCAAAAATCAAATAACACGCAGCTTGGCACTACAGTAACCAGGTCCTCGGAACAAGCTGAGGCTGCAATCCAAAAAATGAACAACATCAGAATTCAGTTACATTTTACGCCGGTAGCACTGATTAACAATGGCATCAAACTAGATTGCTACGCCATAGTCGACAACTACAACAGCTGCTCATATGTCCTCAACAAAACAGCTGAAAGATCTCAAGGTAAACCAAGCCAACAACTACAGCTAAGCGTACGAGGTGCTTTCAGTACGGACAAAGAAAGTGTCTTCCTCTCTGGTTTGGCCTAGTATCGGCCCACATAGCGCCACTAAGACTATTTCACTCTACAATCAATCTATTCAATTGAAGCTCTGAGTTTTGACGCCATCGACGCAAACAACTTTTAAAAACTGTGCTCACTCTACAATCACTTTGGACATGTCAATTTTCCTGATCTAGGCGACAACACAGTTCAAATTTTGATGCTTTCTGGAACATTGCGGAGCACGATATCATGAGACGTCCTAGAGGCATACCCTACGCTGTCAAAAATCTACTAGGTTGGACGATCACTGGCCCATTTAACCAGAAATCAAATAGTTCCGGATTAAATTCACATTCAACTAATTTCATTGACCCAAACGATCAAAAAGACGCTAATCTCACTGAATTAGTGAAAAAAATTCTGAAAAGTGGAAGGATCAGTCATCCACGAACATCAAAAAGCTACATAATCGGACAAAAGCAAACAATAACTAAGTGTTATGGAAAACAGCAATGAGCACGATGGAGATCGCTTCAAAATAAATCTACTCTGAAAAAACGAAAAGAAATTATTGCCGAACAAATATCCGGTAGCTAAAGCTCGATTGCTATCGCTACAAAATGGCTCAGAAAATACCCCAAAACCATGCAACTTTATGAGAAATCGCTTACTACTGACCTGGAGAATATCTACGTCAAGCCCGTTGCAATCCAAAATGCGCTTCACTTCCTTTGGCCTACTACAAATGGTATCAAACAATATCAATACACGCGACTTATCTTTGGTGCAAAATGCTCACCATCCATTGCCATCTTTGCTCTTCATCAAACAGCTGCCTATTACTGCGTAACCAAACCCAATGTTGCTCAACTGCTTCATAAAAGCTTTTACATGGACGTCTTCATTCACTCGTTCAACACGACACACGAGGCTGGAGGTTCTACTACGCAACTAAAATCCTCCATAAGACAGGGGGGATTCAACCTAACTAAGTTTGTATCCAAGACTAATGACGAGATATGCTTCATTGATGGAGGCGAAGTTTCTACTAAAGCTACAGTGCATCACGTCCTGGGGGTCAAATGGGACACAACTGACGATACAATATTCGTGCAACCAACAACTAAGCTAACTGATCCTACATCTTTTACGCTCCGAACAGTTCTCTCTAAATTAGCAAGGGTTTTCGACCCTTAGGTTTTCTAGCGCCGTTTGTCATAAAACTCAAAATTCTTCTGCTAAACCCTTGGAAGTCTGGTATCTCTAAAGACGAAACCGTGCCCAGTGACTTTGATCCGATAATTGACAAATTGGTCGACCAATGCACACAAACACCCCCTCTTAGTCTGCCGCGCTTATTTGGACCACAGCTGTCATCTAGTGATATACAGCTCCAGGTTTTCTGCGACGCGTCGCAAGACGCGATGACTACGTGTATCTACTTCGGAACTGCATGTAGCTCTGGCACACACGCTAATTTTTGGTTGGCAGAACATAAGTAGCACCACTGAACCAAGAGATCATTCCGAAACTGGAATTATAAGCCGCCCTTATGGGTGCTCGGCTGTGCAAGTTCGCTACTGATGAAATGCGAATAAAGTCCCACTCCACTCATTTTACAGATAGCACTACTGTTTTGTCCTTGATCGCATCACCTGGTAAACTGAAAACTTGCTGCAACAGAGTTGGTGAAATACTTACTTTATGCAAAGCCGAACAATGGAAACACATCCCTGGTAGACTCAACCCAGCAGACAGTGCTACACGGGTAATTGAACTTAAAGACGTAGCAAAGCTTTGTTTGGATGCACCACATTTTCTACTCAACAATGCGCCTATTTGGGTAATCAACGAAATAATGGAAGAAGTAATGCTACAACGGCTAGCCACCCAACTACACCCTTAATCGATTCTTCGAGGTTTTCAGACTGGTTTGGATTAGTTCGGGTCGCCGCTCGGGTTATAGTTTTTGTCGGTACACTGAAGGGAAACGGTAAATGTTCTGCCACTAGGGAAGACCTAGAAAAAGCACAGCTCCTCCTTTATCAACAATCCCATTGGGCTCCGAAAATCACTCAGACAGATAAGGCAAATCTGCATTCTCTGCAGAAGATTCCAAGTCGACCTATTTCCGTTCAAAACACAGGAAACGACTATATCGGGCCATTCTACATCGCAACAAAGAATACAACTGATGAAAAAAAATTTTGCCTCTTAACATGCCTCTCTACTCGCGCATTTCTTCTGGAATCGACAGAGAACCTTACTAAGAACAACTGTATAACGGCAATTAGACGTTTCATTGCTAGGAGAGACACACCGAAGCTTTTATTCTCTGACAACGCTACTTACATCATCGGCGCCCGTAAACAGCTACGCTCAGGACTAATTCAATTCAACGAAACCACCCTACATCATACGCTACAAATCCAGAATGTTGAATGGCGCAAAAACCCCGGGCTTGTCTCAAAGATAAAACGCGCCTTCTCACTAAATCTCGGATCTGATTGAATATTTATTTGCTACTATCGTAGCCGAGACCGAGGCAATACTCAACTCACGTACGCTAACGAAAGTCAGTAGTGACCTTGACGACGACCTTCTACTGACACCCAACCACTTCTTAAGGGGTCATCCATTCGTCTACGCTCCAGCAGCAGCTTTCTACGAAGCATCCACCAGTAAACTGTCCAACAAGTCCTGGAAGCAAGCAATAGATAGACTTGACAGCTTCTGGAGGCGTCTACTTAAAGAATAAGCTCCTCCGACTCTCATCAGAAGGACTAAATGGACGCAACCCGAAGTACCACTCGAGAAAGATGACCTCGTGTGGATACTTGAGGACTTTACTGCACGAAGCATCTGGCCACTGGGTCGAGTGCTGGAGTTTTTACCGGCGCGGATGGCATTGTGCGCTCGTGTAAACTGAAAACAGCCTATGTACTTTAACGAGACCAGCGGTGAAACTTGACCTCGTATCCCCAAAAAAGAAGTCTTAAGGCCACTTCAATTGTACTATAACAGAAAAAACACTGGACTCAAGACCTTTAGAGACCTTTAAGACATATGATCATCAAATTGTCTTGAATAAAGCTAATCGTCTTAATTTCTGGGCTGTCCGGAGAACTTAGTAAATAAGTCGCTGATATGATTATTCAACTAGTATTTTCCTGATTTTAGTATACATCAGGCCTCGCTTTGTTGCTCTCCAAGGAGTTTTAAGAAATGGTCTCATGTTTTGATGGTGTTATTTTTATGGATTTTTCTAATAAAAAGAAGGTTTTCAGAGGCTAGTATGCAATCATGGTCTTCTTTGTTGCAGCTAGCAAGGAAGGGTAGATCGAAAAGACAGGCGAGAGATCTTGAAAGCTACTTAAGCCTTCTGATAGCTACCACTGAAGCTCGGGGTCATTATTTATTGCTTCTTCGTGGATTATTTAGGCTTTGCGCTTGGTTTGGAGGTACGTATTACCGAAGAAATTTCCCGTTCAAGTTCCTGCATACTTATCAATTACTTATGAGACTCTTACCCCTGATTTTAAATTCTTTACAGAACCATATAACTTCAAGTTTCTATAAAATTCTTATGAGAATCTTGCCAGATAATTGCATTTTTTTACAAGATTTTTTATACGATTCCTAAAAAAAAATTTTCTGTAAATTCCGGTTATAGAGAAAATTTTAAAATTAAGACCCCGTTTAATGTAGTCGGTAATACTTGTAATAATGTTGGGCATATGATCGGATGTATATAGAATGTTGCAAATGGATCCATCTGTTCACGTCTTTTACATTTTTTCACTTTGATATGTAATTGAGCCAATGATCTGTACACATAGATATTTGAACGAGAAGATTAAAAAGTATCAAGAGTAATTAGTATTCACTTGAAGTAAAGGATTTAACATCATTAAGGGACGGAATTAGTGGTGTTGTGAAATTCTGATTCTGACTAAGGAATTGGGGACACAGTAAAACATACACTGTTGGGTAGCCCGAAGTCGGTGGTCCAGGTTTCGAGTTCTTTCACTCGCATCATGAGATCTGAGAACCACGAGCCCAAGCTGTATGTTGTGGGATACCTGAGCCAAGTAAGAGGCACCTTGTCGAGAAAGAGGGAAGTGCTGAGGTCGTCCATGGCACTCGTTATTGTCAGTTCTCCCTTCAGTCCCAGCTGCAGCTCAGTCAATGACCTAAAGTACACTTGCAAAGACATGATCAATTGAAACATTAGCAGTTCAGTCTCAGCAGTCTTTTTGAAACCAGGAGTCCTAATTGAACGCCACAAACCTAAAAAGCTATTTTATTTTCTAAAAATACGCATTACGAGGCCAAACTGTGCATTCTCTGCATTGTAAGCGGAATCACAGGCCAAAATTAGATTTATTGCGGAATCCGCAACATTGTTACTTTTCTTTGATCTTCTTTGCTGTTTTGGATTCCACGAACAAATACCTAAATCATTGTACCGCTCAACAAATTTTTGTGTTAGATCCAAGTTTTTTTGTGGTTTTTTTGAAAACAAATGCAAAAAACTAACTTTTTTTTTCTTATGCATATGCAAAAATTGCAAAATTTTATTGTAAAAAACTTGTTAAATTAATGCTAAAATTTATTCAAAATTGCTGACTTTGAGTGCTATTCCCTATCTTAATGCATTGTTTTTTCAATATTTTTGATCAATATACATGCAAAAAAGAGATTTTTTTATGATCAAAATTAAAACAAAGGTTTTCATTTTCTTTGATTATTAACAGTGCAAGAAAATCCTCTTTCAGTTTTCTTTAAAATGCGAAGTTTTTTAATGAAATTTTTCTTAATTTGCGAGATTTCCTTTGATTTTTTCCACAAGTGTGCAAAAAAATTATGAAAATTTTTGCATAATTTTTGGGCAAAAATTAATGTAAAGTTTTTAACAAGCTTAAAAAATTGGTTTAATTTTTTTGTCATCTTTCTAACAAAATTCTATAGAAGTATTTACCAGATGCATAATTAGTTTAATTTTTAACAAAGTTTCACCATTGAAATTTCTTAATAAACTTTTCTATGATCTCTTTGTCCCTATCTCTTGAAAATAAATTTAATAGGTGCAAAGAAACTAAATTACAAAGCACAAGACAGTAACCAATTTATTTACAAATCAAAGAGCTGTCGAGCAGCTGAGTTCTCAAAAATTTGCAAGTTCTCAATGGAGCGCAAAGCTGGTCTTGCCTCCATCACTGGTGGTTGTCTTGGTGGTTCGCTGACTGGAGTTCTTGGCTCAGAGAACCCCTCATCCTCTTCGATGGTAATTGGGTTGTCTACAGATCCCTCTTCCCAAGGAAAGAGGAAATCGTCGAATGGTTGGGCCACATATCTAAAGTCAGGAATTTCGGGGTAGTTCATTCCCACATGCTCGGGCACTTCCTCCATCATTTGCATTTCTCCAAGTTGATCCTCTGTAGGAGGTACTTGCGTTATATGATGTTCGTTGAAATCCCTGCGCATCACCTCCACCATATGCCAGATTTGGATTGGGATGTCCATTCGTGCCAGAAAAACTCCACAAACTGTTTATCGCACTTGGATTTGTACTAAATCAGCCAAAAATTCCACCGAGAACATAAGGTTGTTGTTTTGTACTGAGAAGATCACTTTGAGCAATAAGTTGAGTTAATGAGTAAAAACAATAACGGTGATTAGGTTGAAATTATTGTATTTAGAGCTGAGAGAGGAGGTAGTTGACGGTAGTGAAGTTGAAAATAAAATGATTTTTAGTTAAGAGAGAATGTGTGGGTTTAACCAATCAGAATGGATTTTGACGGTGATTAAGTTGACGGTGATTAGGTTGAAATTATTGTATTTAGAGCTGAGAGAGGAGGTAGTTGACGGTAGTTAAGTTGAAAAAAAAAATGATTTTTAGTTAAGAGAGAGGGGTACCTTCAACTGGAATGTGTGCGTTTAACCAATCAGAATGGATTTTCCTTATTTTGATTGTAGTCGTGTCCAATCAGATTTTAGTTTACTTTTATGGAATTCTTATAGAAAACTCGTGTTCAATTGGAAACAAAGCTCCATTTTACACATTGTCGTTTCCAATCACAAAAATGTTCATTTTTGTTCAAGTTGTTCAAGTTGTCGTATCCAATCAGAGGAACTTTTTAAGGACTTAAGTCTTCCAAATAAGTAAGAATATACGCAAAAGCAATCGCAAAAATAAATGAACAAAACTTGTTTGCTTTGAAATTAAGAAATGTTGCCGATATAAGTAACAAAAGAAGAAAAATTTAATAAAAGTTGCATCTCTGCAAGTCTTCTCATCAAGTTAACTGAATATTTTTAACTGGATAGTTAAATGAATATTCTCATCAAGTTAACTGAAAAGTAAGTATATTTATGCAATTTTTGGTATATAATCGATGAGAAATTGCTCATTTTTCAGCAGATATTCAAGTTCTTTGATTTTGATGTAGATTTGAGATGATAACTCAAAGTTGATGAAATTTTCAAAGCAAATCTCTGGAAATCTGATACCAAACCTGATCATGCAAGATTTTGAATGGAGGAATAAAGAACTTTGCTGGGGAGTTTTGACAAATTTGGGAGTTGGGTAGGTAATAAAAAGAGTCTTTGAAAAGTTATTGTACGACTTTTTTATTAACTTCAAGTTTTCTAAAATAAATGAAATTTCTTTTCTAGTCAGGTGTAACTCAGCAGTAAGTTTATAACTTTGATACGCAATATGTGGATCAAAAATAAATTCTTTGATTGAGTAAGTTTCCCTAAAGAGATCTTTACTTAGTCGGAGAATTCTATTTTTGATAACATAAACGTCCAATAAATTATGAAAAAATTAAGAACCTACGTCTATCTCATCAATAAGGAAATCACACGGAATATTTTCTTTTTTCTTGTAGAGTAATTCGAGAAGGTTCAAATGTTTTCTATTTGAAATTTTTCAAAAATGAATATTTTGGATCCAGAGATATTTCTAGAAACTGCTTAGTTCTGATTGGTTGAAAATTTTTCGGAAAATTTTAGAAATTTCGAAGGATTGACGTAGGCGATGACGTCATTACCATAAAGGGAATGTTGCGTGGGTGGTGACGTCACTTCTATTTAGAGAATGACGTCATTACCATAAAAGGATGATTACGTGGGCGTCATTGATAGTATAAATACACTTATTTTATTGGGTTAAATCATTCATTTTGTTTGCCAATCAGAAACAGTCAATTGAATTTTACATCAAATTTTACATTTCGTTACTTCACGAAAAGTAAGTATTTTCATTCAATTTGTACTTTAAGTTTTTAAATTTGAAACATTTCAAAAGTCCCAATTAATTTTAGATAATGCCCTCCCTTAACCGAAACGAGAAAGTGAAGTGTGAGGACTGTGGAAATATGTATATTCGTCAAAACGCAGCTCGACATCGAAAGAGATGTGAAAAACAAAAGGAACATAAGTTTCCAAACTGTGATTTTTATACAAAGAGGAAAGAGGAGTTGGGTTATCATGTTGCGAAGAAGCATGCCCAACCAAGTTCGAAGCAGTCGACGGTTTGTCCTTCTTGCGAACAAGATTTCTCAAGTTACTACTCTCTCCAACAACATCGGAGAAAGGAACATGGAGCAAAACACCGGAAACCCAGTGATACTGTAGCGGACTTGAACAAGATTATGGAGGAAGAAGGGGAAGATGGTGAAAAGTTGAAGGAGGAACTTAGTACCTGTCAACATTTTCTGGTGAATACAGAGATGGAAAATGGGAGACATAAGGTATTTAACTTCCAAATTTCCAAGTAAGATACTAAAATAATCAACGAGAAACTTGAAGAAGTCTTCAACAAGCTCGATTCTGCCGCTAAAATCAACATTACACTGGGGTTTGTTCTTCGAAACATTGAGACTGGTGAATATCATTTTTTCTAATCCCATGAAAACAATACTCTGTTTCAAAAATCCCACTTACTTTGTACGAAAGCGGATTTGAAAACAATCCAAGGAAAAGAAGAAAAATTTGATATTGTGGAGCAATGTACCCAAGAACGCCAGAACACAAAGTGGCGATTCAAGTTGATTACTAACGTTACAATTTTTGCTGCTTTGCTGAAAAAAATCCCCATGGGATGTCCGGAATCTGTCTTACCCGAACCTTTATTACGACATACGCAAGTGAATTGTCTTTTATCTAACAAAGACAAGGAACCTTACAAAGATCATTTGTGTCTTTTCCGCGCATTGGCAATGTACATGAACGGACCCAAAGATCTCGACTCTCACACTTCCAGATACTTTACAGATTTTATATCAAAATCTGGTTATAATCCTAAAAATTTTCGTGGAGTTTCTGTAGAAGACTTACTTGTTGTCGAGGAAATTGTGCAAAGAAACATTTTTATTTACGATTTCGATATCCAAGAAGGAGAATATGTAGGAGAACTAGCTCGAAGAAGTATCGGAAGATTCGATAAAACAGTTAAGCTACTGAGATTTAACAATCATATCATTCACACAAATGATATAGACCGAGTGAGACAGTTTCTTCAAGTGCTTTCGATGCCCTAGCTGTGACACCTTTTTCCACAAATCAGACCACTTCAATCAGCATTTCTTGAGATGTAAGGACCGAGTGAGACATATTTACCCAAAGAACGTGTATGAACTTCGCGAAACCTTGTTTGAAAAGCTAGAGCGATTCCATCCTCCAGTTTCTGAAGATAACAAGCTCTTCAATAATCTAGCAATTTTCGATTTTCAATCGATTTTTGTTAATACAGAGGAGATAAAAGAGACGCAAACTACTACCTGGATTGGAAAACATGTCCCATTTCAGTCTCTGTATCATCAAGTCTGATTGATGAACCCATCTTTTTGTACAACAAGGATCCACAAAACTTGATAATTGATTTTGCTTCCAACCTCGAACTGTTAGCTGAAAAAAGTAAGTTGGAGATGAGAACAAAATTTCAAGATATTGAAAGAGCTGTCAATGAAAGAATGAAAATGATCTTTGATCAGCTAAACTAACGTGGTAAAAATTTTTCACGTAATAAATTCGAGTAAGAAGACGAATGCACTGAAGATTCGGAAGAAGCAGATATGTCAACACAATTCTTGCGAATTCAGCAAAATCAACTCATCGATTTGAAGCAATATTTGGAGAGATATGTAAATACTCTACCTGTTTTTGGATTTAACAGCGGTAGATA